CTGCTGAAAGCAAAGAGAGCGCCCGTACAAGTCTCCAGTGCCTCTTGGCCTAATCTTTTTTAATGGTCCTAGTAATATTAACTACTGCTGGATTTTTGGCAGCCTCAACAGTATCAAAGTTTCTGGAAAATGTTAAGAAAGAAACCTGGATAAAGAAAAAAAATTAAAGAAAAAGGCATTTATTCTTTCTTGAAAAGCTGCTGCTCTTAATGTATAGATTGAATTAAATTTTTCATCACCCTGAAAATTCAGCATGAAATTCTGCAATTTCAGGTTCTACACAAAGAAAAAGCCTTTAAGGCTTGCTGAAGAAACTGCCTTTCCTTCTTAGTCTTCCCTTCATGTAGCCCTTTGGCTGTTTCTTTAGGATTCCCTGCCTAGGTGAACAATAACCAAAAAGAAGATTTTCAACTCCCTTTTATTTTTCTTGTAAGAGAACCTTCTCTATCTTTAGCATCCTCCTATGCACCTATCAGCCAGACACAGAAATTTATTTCTCAGTTAATCCTATCTTTTAACACTTCTCTCATCATTAAAAGAAACTTAGTGAGGCTTACTAGAACTACAGGCTTATTTTTTGCCATTATATTGGCTGATGAAAGGCTCAGAGTTTTTTGGAAACTGAAAACATCCTAAGTAACTTAACAGAGTCAACATTTGACAACTGAAGGGAGCACAAGCACAAAACATATTGAGCGCACAGCACGGGCTGTTCACCTCGAAAACTTTGCCTTGGTGTTAAATTCTCCAGAGCGAGTTTCAGGTCGATGGCTACCCAGCCAAGCCGGCCTTTTGGTAAATCATTCATTGCAAGGAGCTCTTTCAAACAAGGCTATGTAGTTGGAGATGAGATAAATGTATCTCCAGATAGTATCTGCATTACAGGAGTACCTGTGTATTACAATCTTATACCCAAGCAATGAATTCGTCGGGATCTGAACAAACCCCAGAATATCCCATCCAAGGGCAGTCTCTTCTTTAATTTTTTTTTTTTAAAACTTTAGTAAATAATAGGGGGATGGAGTCAAAAGTGTAAATCCACCTCTTTCAACTCTTTCAAAAACAATAATGAATGTAAACAAGAGAAGAAATAGATAAAATGCAGTTTTGGCAATTTCCAGTGACAAAGCAGTTTAAAAAACCTAAACCTCTGAACGTCATTTAGAAATATTTGTCACAGCAGAATTATTTCCAGTATAAATTCGGTTTAAAGACAAAGTCTGCCAGTCTTCCCAGTCAAAGGCAGGATTACTATGCGCCAGACGTGTTCAGGGATTAATTCTGAACTAGCCAGCGTGAGCAGCAAGAGCAGCACAGAAGCAGCAGCATGGGCTTCAGCCACGCACGGTCTGCGCAGGCTCTGGATAACCCCGCGTGCCGTGAAGCTTCTTTTTTCTGAATCTGCGTTTTTGGCAGCTCTGGTCAGTGAGATTTTCAGTTATCATCAGTTTGGTGCGCTCTAAATGACTGACTGCTTGAAGTTATTTAGCTGCCATCCGAAAGGTTTGTCAGAAGAAAAAGTTCAGGACACAACAGTTTGGTCTTTAGAAGATGACGATGCACCCATGCAGCAGTGCTCTACAACAGCGCATTTTATAAATAGCGGCTAAGAGCAAAAACGCTGTCAGTTTGAACCTGTGGGTGGCATCTGTATCAGTGCCAGTTCCTGCTCATTAGCTGAACGGCAAGGATTTGCATTGGCTCCTCACCCTCTCGTTCTTACGGCTGCAAAACTCACAACAGGCTGGGTATGAAAAGCGAATTTCTGACTGAGGCTCCAAGCTTTTGTACAGTTTCTACACCCATCTCCATGGTTAGACAAGGCTCACCTCACCTCTCCTGTACTCCACAGCCCCGGTAGCCTGTTTGATTTCCCTTTAGAGCAATTAGTAGTCCCTGAACTGACATCGGTGAGAGCTGACCCGATGCATGCTCCAGCTCCAAGGAGGTGAGATGAAGGTTGTCCTTACCTCTCCTTGACTGCGGGTCACTTGATGGGATTTTTTGCTTTCTAGATTGAGCTCTGATTTCAGTAGTTTCTGTCTTGTTTCTTACCTTTCCACTAGCATCAGTGTGCAGAAAATAATTTTTAGAAGTAGCTAGGCTTGCAGCAGAAGCACACAGTGGGTCCTGGAGAGACCGCTTCACAGCTCTGGAGCTGCCACTGCAAGTGTGCTCCAGAGGTTTCCTTCTCTCTCCCTGAAAAGGAGCTCATATTGTCTCGTATTTTTGGATCACAGGTCCTCTGGTTGTTTTTGCTGGAATTAAAGATCTGAAACTTATGAAGACAACACAGTCTGGATTCGCGGGCTTCTATAAGAATGAACACACCACACTTCCTGAGAGGCACGACAGGATTTTATGTGGAGAGCTCTTCTGCAAGTGGTCATACGGCGAATGCAGAGATTTTGACTTTGATTCCATATGGTATACATCTAATCAAATATTTATTACCTAAACTATGACCCCAAAGTCCCTCTGTATACAGTACAGCAAGTGTAAGGGCCAGATCTGCAGTTGCTGTGCAGCAGCCACTCTCGCAGACCTCGGTGGTGGTGCTGAGCCCCGGGTACCGGGGGCGAGAGGCACGCCCCGGCGGGCACTGGGGTACTCCTCTCCCTGACGGTGCATCCATGGACAGTGTTCAAATGGACAGAATTCAGTGTTCAGCACAGAATACTTCAGCAGAACAAACTAACAACTAATTTGTTAAATACTTTTAGCAAAACAACCATTTATGAATTATAGAGCTGGGTGGGGAAGTTGGAGATGACAGGACAAAGAAATTTTTCTTCCATAAAATCCCATGTGCTACGTATTTGTCAGAAAAGACAGAGAAAATAAAAACAAAAACCCCAAACCACAGTAAAACATTATGGATCTAGACAGAGACAGCTGATACAAGGTTTTGTAAGAACCTGTGTTACCTCTAGGAACAAAATCCGTGAATGTATCATTGAAGCCTTTTCTGGGCCACCCGAGTGTGGGGAATATTCACCCTCTTACCAGAAGACTGTCAACTGTATCCAGATGTGTGTCCTTTCCAAAGTGTCACAGGTATCTTCTTTTCTCCTGTCGATGTTTTACTTAAACAATAATGAATGTTAATCGGACCGAAGACCAAAATGAGCCCATTATTTGCTCTGACAGTTCTAAGTAAGACTGGAAACTCTTTAGTGGTACAGCTAAATGGTCTGAAAAAAATAGGAACGCACCAAGAAGTTCATGTGCTGCTCCCCAGCTGCGAACATACTGGGGGAGAATTATCACTTGGTGCTTGGCAAGACATGAGTAAAAGTGAAATGGGTGCTACAACATTGCCTACATCTTCAATAGATTGCATTTTATCAACTGTACATATGGGGAAGGTGGGGGTTGCATTGCTTTTCTTTATAGTGAGTGAAAAGATTGCCAGGCTGTTGGCTGAGAAGGCGCCCTAATTCATTCTCTCATCTGTGTTTATGGTTTCAGGTACAGGTCATAGAAGTCGTCTTGAACAACACTTTTTATAATGTTGTAGACATGACGAATCTAGGCTTGACCAATGACAAAGAAGTAAGTAAATGCTCCAAACACAACTTGCCTGGACTCTTTAGAAATACTCAGCCTCAAAGAATAGTGCCAGTTCTGCACTGAACAGAGTTAAAGGGAGCAAACTGTCCCCCAGCCCCAGTGAAAGCTCCACCTTAGCTCTACAAGAGATTTACAGTGATTACAGCAGAAGGGTAATTGCCTTCTTGTGGTGTTGATGAAAGCTAAAGCAGCATAGCAGACGCTTCGGAGATCAAAGGGATCTGTAACAGAGACTACCTCTGAAAAATCATTGCTGTTTTCTCCGCTGAATTTGACTTTTAGTGATAATGTCAACCTGTGCAGTTTTAAGCAAGCAGAATGTGTCACGGCACCCTTTCACAGAGCCAGGTAGTGTGAAAAGCTGGCCCGCTATGGCTCTTCTTTCTGCTCCACCGGCAGCACCACAGAGGCCAGGGAGCATCCTTGGTGCCGAGGGGTTACAAGCAGGTTATAGCCAGGCCATAGGCTAATCCCAGGTGACCAAAGACCAGCACGCTAAGGGAACAGCGAAGGGATGTTTCTGGGAAGGGAGCCAAAGCAGACTGGTCTAACAAGGCATAAGCCTGGGATCAGGCAGAAGGTGAGAGGTGCAGGGGATGAGATTTGTTTGCTCCTCCCTCCGCAGCTGCTCTAGCTGACAGCCAGGTCCAGCTGGAAGCCTGTTATGTTATCCTCACGTGACAGAGAGGAACTGGGTTATTCCATTTTGCGTCAATGGTCTACAGCCTGTTCATGCTCTCGTCCCCCTCCCTAAGTCTTGTGATTCTGCTGCCATCCTACCCCACGCCTGCCTTCTTTCAGGTGGATATTACAGATCCACTTTGAGATAACAGCAAAATCTACCACTGATATTCCTAAGGGAAGGGCAGGGCCCGGGGATGATGTTGAGGGGTGGTGAATCCCTGCAGTTTCTGCTGTGACGGCGCTGGCCGAGAAATGACCTCTGTGTTTGTGCTCATCCCCCTCAGGTCCTGGTTCCAGTGGAAACTCCTTACGGCTCCTGCGCTTGCACGCTCGCCAGGAAGAAGTTCTTAGAAGCACAAGGCCATGTGCTAAAAGATGAGAGGCAAAGTCAGTTTGGACTGGCAGCTGCCCAGGGAAACTAAACCGCCTGGCGACACTCACACCTTCCTGATAAACTTAACAGATCGGCTTTCCTATCAACGTATACTCTGTACTGGCCTCTTCCATTGCTGACTACTTTTCCCTCTATGAACTCCTGAGGTTGGGATTTCTGAAGGACCCTCAGGAATTCAGAAATCAAAGTCTGTCCCTGAATCTCAGTGTGATTTGCAGATTGAAATCCCCTATGCTCTTTTGAAAATCCCGGCTGGAAACATTATAGTCAATTAATTTTTAAACCACCTATTCCCAGACCTCTTAACAAAACAATTCATTTGATACTGCCTGTAACATGCTTTCGACAGGTAAGATCAGCAACTCTGTATATTCTATTTATTAGCATGCCTTCAGTAAAGTGAATATACAGGCATGAGACCAGAGGTTTCATTGACGTAACCTGTCACGACCCTTGATGCCACACTGATCTACAGAGCTGAGGTTCTGACCCAGTAACTGAATAGGGAATCAGTCAGACACCGATTTCTTTGTGAAAGAAATGAAAAAAGAAAATACACAAAAGAAAAAAGACCTATTATATCTCCTCTGCGGTGTGAGTAGTTACAGCTGTTGACTAATTTCTCTGCATGTATTCTGACTGCATGGCTGCTGCTGCTACTCGTCAAACTATAGTTACTATATAATTACTTTTATATTAATCGCTGAGGTGTTTGAGGTTTCAGGCTATCTCTGTAAGTTTAATAAAATAGTTTTCTTTAGTCTAATAATCTCATCGTGACTTCTGAGCAGGCAGGAGTCAGCCTAAGTAACCCTATTACTTTCAGGAGGTGCAGGGAGAAAGCTAGACAGCCAGACTTTGCGTATCTTGCTTTAGTTACCCCAGGTGATAACTTTGAACGTAGAGATACATCCACACAGCCAACAGTTCTTGTCTCGCAAACTGCGGCTACCACATTTGCAACAGCAACCCTCCTCAGCTTCTGACAGCTTCTAACCACTGCTCTCGATTTTCTCCGGGCGTCATTTTCACAGACTCTACGTGACAGAGTGCAAATCCAATGGGAAGTGCCTGAAAACTGCCTTTCGGTTGCCTTTGCGCCTTCCCAATCTAGGCACCCTGCAGCATTCCTCTGGGTACAATCATTACATTCATAGGCACCGAAAATGAAGAACATGTCCTGCACCGTGTGACATTTCGAGGTGCTTTGCAAGATAGGAGCTTGCCTTGGTGAGCAGGGCACAACAGATGCAAAGGGAAGACACTGTTCACAAGCCTGCCATATCTCCCGAAAAACAACAGGACAAATGATACCTCAGAGCCAATCTGTCCCAGTGCTGCTCTCTGGTCACGAGCCAATTCTGAAAGTTTTATTTACGACACTTTTAGCTTTTGCTGGGGACATTCTTTCTTACCTTGTTAGATTGTGTTATATTGTACTTGTGGGCTTATGTCTTGCTATTTCTGCTATTTTTAGGTGCTTGTAATTTATTAATGTATCTTTTAAGGGCAAATAAAGAGCAACATCAAAAAAACCAAACCAACCAGTATTTGACTGTTTACCAAATAAGAAATGAAACCATTTACTACTTAGATATCAATGCAACATTGTAAGTTAAAGAAGTATGTTTCAGTTCAGCTAATTCTACCTCAAAAAGCGACTGGGCTTGTTCCAAACGACAGCTCGCTACCAATTGTTAAAAACGCATGAGAAAGAATCTCACTGAACATTCCAGTATTTACCTCTTCCTAAACAAGGCACATCTTCACAACCCACTTCCCTTCTACCTTATGAGAAATGTATTGGATTAGGCGAAAAGTTTCCTGTTGTTACTACCTGCGCTTCGTTTGTGGGCTTGTAAGGTAGCGCTGGACTAACCTTCCCGGCAGAACGAGGACACGGAGCAGCAACCAGTTGTTTATTTAGACTTTCCTGTGGCAACAAGCACACATGTACGCTGCTCCGGCAAGGAGATTTCTATAAAGCTCCGCAGACATGCAGACATTCAGCAAGCCTTTAAAGGCACCTCGGCTCAGCGCCATCCAGCACTGCAAACCTGAGTCACTTTGCGTGGGCAGGCTGCTAAAGAAAGTACTTAGGCAATCGGAAGAAGCCCGAATTTTCCATGTTGCAATTAGGTTCAGATAACAACGGCATAAATCATTCTTGAAAACGGGACTTATCCAGACTTACTTGGGCCTGAAGCCTGACCAAATTCCCAGCTTCATTAGAGTCAGTCTCTACAATGGACTTGCATTATTTTAACTGAGACGGGGGGCGGTTTCAGTTCCTGTCCTGGGGAGCTGTTCAAGCTGCTTACTGTATTTTACTCAGAGGCAGCTGTGATGCTTTGCTGATGAAATCAGACTTCATGAAAATGAGCAGCAGCTAGCAGATCGTAAAATTGCCACTTAAAATACATCTTCTTGCCCATAACATGGACCTTGCTGGGCTGTATCCCAGCAGTTTATAGGGCCTGGAATCTCCTACCAAGAAACAGGCTATTTCAAGTGCCATTTCAAACATCTTACTGTCATTTTAGCGTCCGATTCTTTCACATCCTATTTCTGTTCATTCTGATAGCTGCCCAGGACAGTCCAACCGCAATCCTCCTCAGCTGCTGATCACGCTCCACGCACAACCAGCGTCACACAGACGAAATGCACAAGTTAAACTCATTAGCCAACACCTAAACCAGAGAGGAAACGTCACCTTCGGGGTCAGCACGAGTGATCTGTCTTCACTGGCTGTATTATTCTATATGTGTATTCAGGCTACCTGCAATCCAACAAACATTTAAACCTGTCAGTTTTCATTAACTATTACAGCTACATTTTTTCTTCTTTAAAGTTTTGGTTTGTTTTTTTGTTTTTTTAATCTTGCTTTTATCAGGAGTACAGAACCCTGATTCTACGTTGAACAGAGCTAACTTAAAATGACCAAAAAACCCCCTTCTGGCTAGAAATCTCAATATAAATACTTTTGAAGTTAGAATCCTGCTATTTGTGTACCTACAACAGCCAAGCTTCTTCCTCCTGGAAAGCACACAGCTGTATCGAGAAACGAAACCTATTAAATGTCTCCAGTTAGAGGATCAAAAATGTCAACTTGCATCTTGGCTATAATTAGGATATAAAACGTTTTGTGATTCTGAGATTGAACCTTACCCTTCATAGCAGGCTGACAAAAGACATGCACACGTACCTGAGTGCATGCCCACACACCTGGTCCCATATGTAGATGTACATATATATATATATAAACATATGTATAAATGGCACTTACTAGATCAGCTGGTGTATGACTGATCTATGACAATCAAATAAGAAACACCATGAGCTGGGGTTAGTTGCTACATAGTTTTGTTACAGACTTGCAAACTCCCAGCTGCAGTGAGCTGAAGCCTGCCACGTCCCCTTCAAGATCCAGCCCAAATTACACATCAGGACAGCAGTTCACCTCTGCCAGGCTCACAAAAAACGAGCAGTGGAGAGAACCAGGAAAGGGGCACACACCCCATTGCTGCCTGCCAGAGAGCTGGAGGGGCGCTTCACGGGCCTGGGAGGCAAAAGCAAAGGTAAAACCATTCAGTCCTGCCAGCTGACCGTCGCAGGGCAGGCAGCGCTGCCAGTGCGTGCTTGCCTGCAGGGACAGGCGTTTGTAGCCCAGGTCCTGGTGAGTGGAGGTGCACAGGGGGGCCAGCCTGGAATGGGAACATAAGGTAACAGAGGCAAGAGATACCAGAAGACAAGCAGGAAGGATGGGGGGGAGGGAAGAGGAGGGAGATATACAGTGATAGTAAAGAATATCAGACAAATCAAAAGAGGGAGAGAACAGAAAATTTTAAAATGACTGAGGACAAGTATCCTCTCTGGCTGCTTCAGAGCTGAAAACACAAACCCAAACCAAACACTACTGGAGGGACTCCAAACTAGAACAAAAAAGGGGGCAGAGAAACCTTTGGTGCAGAGGGAAACTTAACAGCAGAAACCAGAGTGTACTGAGGGGGGCTGCTGCCACCTCTCAAGAGTGGCATTAGGCACAAATCCCCACATTAACATCTACATCTGACTGTAAAAGACAAGAGCTCAAGTCTTAACGGCCTTGTACTCCCACAATGTTTCCAAATCTTCCAGATTACCCGTATTTCCAGGCAGAGAAGCCCAGGCAAACTGGCACGTGGTATTTATACAGAAGGGAGGAGGGATTAGAAGTGTCCTTGCAAAACAGGGTTGCTACACCCAGGCACACACCCTCTTCCCCACTTCTCCCTGTGGTTTGGCCATCAGCTGGGAAACAAACTCAGCTACAAGTCCCTTACTCTTTACATCCTTCCTCCTGCTGCAATCCACCAGTACAAGACAAAGCAACGCTACTCTGGAATCTTGAAATGATGAGCCTTCCCTCCCTTTTTTTTGTACGATTTAGCTGCCACAAAGTCAGGGGCATCTTCAACACAGCAAGTACTGCAGAGTGCTTATGGAGGGGCAGCTGAATTATAGCAATCATCTGAAAAGGGGAAGAGAACATCTTGAGATGAGTGCAAGCCTGCCAATGCCAAGACAGTTGTTGCCTGATCAGCAGATCAGCTGATGATACAGCAGTTGTAACTGCTGACTCTTCCTTTAACAAAGACGCTCACGAGCGCAGCATATAAATGCAGCAGTGGTCTCCAGTACTCACCAGCAGCCTTCAGTAGCAACAAAACTCTCGCATGGAGACCAAGGGCCACTTACAGTCTTCACGATGCTCCTCTTGGGCTCTCCAGGTGTTTGAGGTTACAGTTGCATCCCCCAAATTTACAGCATCTGCCAGCTAATGTTATTCTGGGAGCAAGTTGAATGCACATCTGGGATCCAAAGGAACATCACTAAATCAAGCAATTACAGGGGCTAAGCAAAAAATAATTTAACAACCTTGTTACATTATCATATTAAAAATAAGACCACAGCCTTTCCCAACAGGAAGGAAAGCTACTTATTAAATCAATCTGCCCATTACTGCAAGGGAGACTGCCCTTGCAGGCTTCTGGTGGGCTAATGACAGCCGCTGCCCTTCGCACCTCCCCCAGGGGAAGCTGCTGTCAAAACTGAGCAACACAGAGGTGAAGGTGTATGGAGGCCTTCGGTGTGATGGAGCAGGACATGGATGGGCTCTCCTGGCTGACGTCCCCAAGCACCAAGTCGTCTCACTCCCTGTGAGATAAAGCAGAAGCTGATCCATTGCCTGTGCAAGTTGTCCCCGAAATGAAGGTGAGAGATTAGAGCAGACCCCGCTCTACACCGCTCCATTCGCCCTGCTGCCTACCGAGCCAGTGACGGTTACACTGTTCACATGCACATTTACAGTCAATTAATTTCCCACATGACTCGTGGGCCCATTCCTGGAAGGGAAGGAACTGCTGTTCTGACTTGGAAGTAAAGAACCAGAACGGAGGCAAAGTGAGACGATGTTTTTCAGGTCCTGCTCAGACTCAGCCTTCAAATTTCAGACAATATTGCCATTAAAAAAAAAAAAAAATCACTTTGTAGCTTCCCCCAGACTCACAGGAAGTAAGACCCTCTGCTTTCCAGATAACTGTGAGTGTAACTTAAGTGTGACAGTGGAAAGAGGAGTGTTGAAGATAACAGACCAATTAAACGCCGATTTTGAAAAAGAGGAAGAGGTAAAGGACTTGGTAGAATTTGAACATGTTGAAAAAAGGTGTGAGAAGAGAGGAAACTTCAATTAGCAAGTAATCACTGACAGCAAGGGCCTAACGTGACATTTTGCCTGGGCCATTTCTAACTAGGAGTGATGCATGGGTGGCCACTCCCTTTGCTACAGCTGCCGAGTGTTGTCCTGTAATTATAAGAGCAGAGAATTTTCTACGAATTGATAAAGTGAAGTGCATTAGAGCAAACTGTTTTAAAGAAAACAATAACACGCAGGGATGGGAGATATCAGCAAGCAGACAGAACATTTTTCTCCGGGTTGAGAAAGTGACTTGGTGGACAGGCACAGCCACGGCCTCCATACTTTGCTGACATCAGGTGCTTGATGTGTGGTACTTGGCACTGTATTTGGATACAAAGAGAACATGCTACATGTTGCGTATCTACAGCCTGAGAGGAGAGCGAACATCAGAGCTGATGAACGGTACCAAGATATATCTCACAACCATCATATCAAAAAAGGAATATTGTAAAGCTTTCAAACAATTTTTAAAAGTGCTATGAAAGATTCCGATAGATGTGCACTAGTGGTATTATGAAAAGGATAAGAGGAGGGACAGGGAGGAGGATGGAGAGGGAAGAGGAGGACCTTGGATGCAAGTTCTTGTGCTGACCGGCGGCAGGGCCAGGGAGCTGACTGCTGCTTTGCTCCTTAAAGCTGCCTCTAGGGCAAGGAGGCCACCCTCTAGATTGCTGTTTCAGCATGAAAGCAAGGAGACCCACAGCGCTGAGACCACCCTCACTCTCACACCCAGTATCGGCTGAGCAGTTGGAGACCCGGCAGCATAACCACCACCCAAAGCACAGGGAGGGCTTTTAAGGAAGAGGGACTCTCCTGGCTGCAGGCACATTCAGGGCACGTTATAAGCTGGATTCCTGCATAGCTCTGCGACTCTCAGAACTGCAGTATTGACATGGTATCCAGTCATACCCATCCGTCGCTTCCTCATCTCAACAGCAGCTGTGTTTTCTGCAAGAGGAATGGTAGCTAAAAATAATCCAGCTTTGACTTCCTCTTTCAAACCCTCCAGTTTCTTTTAAAAAAGATTTTTTGCTATCCCAGAAACAGCAAGGAGAATGTAACAGACAAAAACCAGAACGGTCACCTGCACAAAGAGAACAGCAGCATTAGAAAGCTCAGAGAACAGTAGGAAACTACAATAAAGATCAGGGACAGTAAAAAGAAATTGGTACGGTTCTGAGTAACATCCTCCAAATTCCCTTTCACACTTGCAGCGAGCTTTCTGTTAGGCCTCTACTTGTATGAACCAGTGAGCAGTGCTGATCAAAAGGGGAATACAATCTGGATGTTTCTGAATACAATTCATTTGCTCATTAAAACACGTTAAAAGAAAGCATGGTGCTCAGTAATCACCAAATGAGCTCTCATGGCTGTACAGTGGAGATTTTTACTCCCTGACAGAATAAATACATTTCAATTCTGTGTCATCCATAGATTTACAAAATGTGTCAATCCCACACCAAAGACGCAAATAGACAAAAAGAGAATATTCAATTCATCCTTCAGTAATATAGCACTACGTATTCTGCTCCAATAATAATTCTACAAATACAGGGCTGGTAGGCATCTCTGGACTGCTACAGGCAGCTGCTTCACCTAATCCTTTTCATAAACATACCACCTTCTATATATTAAAATATTTAGGATTTTCATGTATAATTTTTCAACTGCAGCCTGTAATTAGCCTGATACAAACTGTACGTGAAAGCTCCCCAAGGCAGGGACGATGGTCTCTATTTGCATCTAGCCTTCCAGAAGATCCCCACTCCCAGTAGGTATCTCTGGATGCTACCAAACTATAAATAAAACCATAAGTAGGATTCAGACTGTGACTTACAAACCTGCTGCTAACAGACTGATACCTGAAGTGAGCACAATACAAGGGACAGAAAGAGAAATGGTGAATACAACCCTGTCTCCTATAATGTCCCAAAATCCAAATAAATGTTGTACAATGTAAAGGTTAGAAAGTACACAAGAAGGCATACTGCTGTATAGGTTATGTATTATACCATACACTGTGAGCTTTACCTACAGCACAGCTATTAATGTGGCTTTATCCCCTCTCAAATCTCAACACCAGAAACCAGAAGCAATTCTCTGAGCACTGTAGCATCAACAGCCACCTTGCGCTTGGCCAAGTCAGAGTGAAGGCAAGGGCCACCAGCCAGGCAGGTGATTACAGGAGCTTCTCCTCTCCCTGAATCCTGTCCCCACTTGGCGGAATGCACCACTCTCTCTTACCTTCTCCCTTCCCAGCTTCACCCCTTCACCATTTCCTCCCACACCATTTTCACTTTCACCACACTGTCCTACTTATTTTCTTCTTCCCAGTTCTTTGCTCAGCCCCACAGATGCAACCTCACATCTGGGGGCTTTACCTAGTTCTGGGGGTAATCATGAAGCTCTCTGGGCCAGTGAAGATGGTAAGCCCAGACAGTGCTTAGCACCACCTGCGGGCTGTCTCCCAGGCATTCTGGGTAAGCCACCCTGCTGTACCAGGGCCAGCACAGCGTCTCTGCACCACTGACAGCTCTAGAACGGGTAAGAGAAGCACAGATGTTACTGGTGAACTGTGACCAGGGCTTCAAATTCTCTCCTTCAGCAGTACATAACACTAGATAAGAAAAAGCAAATATAATGAAATCTTTAAATATCTTGGTGTTAAAAGTAATCACAAGAACACAGAATCTTAAGTAGGTTTTGGTACCTTTTTAATGAGAAAATGGAGAAAAACAGGAGCTTCAATATACCACAACAAAGAAACAGAGAAAGTAAAAGATCTGTAAAGTAAACTGTATCCAAACATAAGCAATGCTTTATTGGGATATAGCAAGCAACCTATCAAATAGGGAACCGGTACAAACAGATTGAACAAGACTCTCTTTTAACAGAGATGTATGGTGACGAGACAGCTTCTTTCAGTTTTTAAAACAAGTGTTCAAACCGTTAAGTAAAGCATTTAAAAAAAAAAAAAAAATCAACCATTACAACACCAATGACAATGTTAAAAAGGTGCAGATTTTACTTTTTTTACAAATTTCTGCATAATGTTAGAAAACAAGTTATCATAAATTAAAAAAAGGAATAAAATGATTTTTTTTGTTGTTTTGCAAAGCAACACAAACTTTTTAAAACCAACTATACTTTACATAGAACTACTATTAAAACCAGGTGAAAACAAGCTGAAAATTTAAAGGACAGCAAAAAATACACAACCCAGTTTCACCTGTCAGCAACGCCTTCTGCTATCGAAGGGGTTATGTTAGTTGTATGTACAGCTTTAAACATTGCAGCATACCACAAGTAAACCTTAATAAGGTCAAAATAGGACCCTCTGCAAAAAAGGGTGAGTTGGCAAGCGTCAGTCCCATCCTAAAATTATAAGTAGTAATTTTAGTAGGTCTTTAATGTAAACTAAAACCTACTTGAATTGGTTTCTCTCTCCCAAAGATGCATGTAAACTTTATTTGGGGTTTTGGGGTTTTTTTTTGGTATTTTAATTCATGAAGTCAAGAACAAGTCCGGCTCAAAAATGAGAATGACATACCTCCCTTTTGTTCTGGATACAGTGACGTAGCTATCTCAACATGCTCATTGACAACTCCTAAAAGAGAAAATCATTATGTACTATGTAAAAAATACACACCACCTCTCTCAGTTCAGACTCAGTATATAGTATATTGCCAACTCTATCCAATAGGATATATATTGTAATTTGGTTTAAATTCTTTAATAGATATATTCTCTCTTTACAAAGTTCCATCACATGAAACCAAATTGCTTATTTATTGTTTGAGGCACAACACGACCCCAATTAGACAATTCGCTATAAAGAGTTGTTCTTTAGATGTTGTGTCTGTAGAGGTTTTACGTGATATTCATAGATTTTCAGCGCAGGCCCCAGTTTTAATGAAAGTCCAGTCAGTACATCATTTCTTGTCATCAACAGTAATGATTTGCCATCAATTTCCTATAAGAAGAATTAAAGAGTTGATAAAGACAAATGTACAAATCTAACAGATGAGAACAGTCATGCAACAAATGGAAGACTACTACAGAGGATCAATAAGAAAAGAAATAGTAGCCTTTATTTTCCTGAAACTACGTTTATAGCTGCTAAATTCTGCTGTCTGCTTTTCAAGCGCTCACCTGTGCTGACGAAGGCATAAATACTATTTAGTCAAGCACAAAACTCAAAGAGCCTAATTTCAAAATTCCCTCCTTGTAAATCTGTTTCAAATTAATAGGTACATGTGCAGATTGCCTAATTATCAGTGATTAAGGGAAGGACACTCTTAAGAAGGTGGCTTATGAAGTGCATTTCAGAAGAATTACCATTGACAGCGATATGCAAGTTTGGACTAGTTGGTATCTACTAATAACTCCAGGTGCCTTCTTTAAAAGGCCAACCTTCCCACGCTTCCTGTGGAGGGGAAAAACAACCCAAAAACAACAACAAAAGGATTCCTGCAATCAGAAATTTTAGAAGGGCCTAACTGTGGAGCTCAACGCTCTGAGGGAATTTCTCTTCCTCCACTTAAAACAGAAGAGGCTAAAAGCAGCAACTTCCCAGCGTGGGTCTCAACAACCTCTACTCATTCCCGCTTAGAATTCCCACTTTTACATCACAGATATGTTGGGGTTTTTTCTCTCAAAACTTGGCTTTCTGACCTATTTAGATTAGAAATCCTGTAGATGTTTTTTCCACCTCAAAACTTTGTTGTATGTTTGAAAACTACCTATAAATGATTTTTCAATGGTCAAAATGGAAGATAAAGAATCCACATCTCCCAACTCCCATCTCCGTTTTAGACATGAGATCATCCTTTTCTTTACACATTCCTACACTTCAATCACACTGCACGGTTCAGGGAACAGGAGCTACACCCACACTACAATGCATTGACTGCTGTCTCACAACCCAGCCAGACCTCCCAAGGTCACCAGAGCCCAAAGAAGTGTATAGCCTTATGGCATTCTCCTGCACTGGACATCACCCTGCTGTTGCATTCTTTTTTACTTTTAATAAAAAACCCCACTATTAAATGTTGAATTTATTATCGATAGCCAACAACCAGTTCAAATGCTTGCATATACTGTTGCTGTCCATGATAATATATTGCCAAAATTTTGTATTTTTATAAATACTATAAACATCACACATTAATTTATCCCACTGCAGCATCTTCCTTATATATATTAAATGTTGCCTTGGAAATGTCAGAGATCCCATCCTCAATTACAACTCAACGTGAAAAGAGGAAGACTTACATTAGAGTTCAGCATGAATTTGTCCAGACTGATCTCTCTCATAATTTGATAAAGTTTATAAATACAAAATACATGGACAAACCACAACACAGTCAAAGATCAGCTGAAAGTGGAGTTTCTTTAAAATCTCCCCAAGAGATGACTGCTAATCCCTCAGAGGAGTGCAATGTAACAGTACTTCTAAAAGAAAAAAAGTTTCCAATAACTTTTTACCCAATTATAGCAGGTGCCTCTTTCCAATTACTGTTGAGAATGTTAATGGTTAAAACCAGTTTCTATTCTCTCTTTTCCATTCATCACAATTCCTTCTGTGGGAATTTTGACACCAGTGAGTATTTTGCTCATTGCTATGACCGATCTGAAGTTGCCTTTTCTGCTGCTGTTCAACGATGCTATGGAGGAAGAACAGCCTCCAGCTTGGTAGGATCCAAATGAAGTAAATCCAGTACCTGGAACAGGAGAAACTCCAAGAATAGGAAAAAAGCATCTCTATTCCTTTCCCTTCTTCTTCCACAGGGTTCCCTGTGGATTCTAGAAAAGTTGGTAACTAGTAAGGCTTTCATTGAATAGAAAACTGATTCTCTAAACATATCTGGGTAGAAATGAGTGATTATGTATTCAGAATTCAAGGGATTTATATCCTTGTGTGCATTGTGAGCTTTACCTCTTCCACTTCTTCCTAGTTTTCCACTTAAACCTGCATCTGTAGATCTGTCATAGCCATTCCGTTTTTTGGCACCAGGTAAGATTTTGTATGCTCTGATGACTTCTCTGAATTTCTTCTCTGCTGCTAACCTATTTTCTGGATTTTTCTCAGGATGCAACTTCAATGCCAGCTTTTGGTATGCCTTTTTAATGTCATCTGCAGAGGCACCCGTCTACACAACTTGAGCTAATAGTAATTTCCCACTGTGCCACGACGCCCTCAGCAGCAATAGCGTATTGTCTTCAGCAAATAACCAGATATGCTGGTTTTGCCTGGGGTAGAGTTAATTTTCTTCATAGCAGCTAGGATGGGGCTATGGTTTGGATCTATGCTGGAAACAGGGGATGGTTTCATTCCGCAGGGCTCACACAGGGCCAAAGCCTTTTCTGCCTCTCACCCCACCCCACCAGCGAGGGGCTGGGGGGGCACAAGGAGCTGGGAGGGGGCACGGCCAGGACAGCTGACCCCAACTGACCCCAGGGGTATCCCACACCGTACGACGTCATGCTCAGCATATACAGCTGGGGGAAAAAGATGGAAGGGGAGATGTTTGGAGCAATGGCCTTTGTCTTCCCAAGTCACCGTTATGCCTGATGGAGCCCTGCTTTCCTGGGGATGGCTGAGCACCTGCCTGCCGGTGGGAAGCAGGGAATGAATTCCCTGTTTGGCTTTGCTGACGTGCGCAACTTTTGCTTTATTTATTAAACTGCCTTTACCTCACCCCATGAGTTTTCTGACTTTTACTCTTCCACTTCTCTCCCCCATCCCGCTGGGTGGGAGTGAGCAAGCAGCTGGGTAGGGCTTAGTTGCTGGCTGGGGTTAAAGCACAACACCAGAGAACCAGTTAAGCTTCAAGTCGCCCCAGCACTCTTTCTCCAAGTGACTAAGAACTGCAAGGTTTCACAGTACAGCTAACACAAAACCATGGCAGCCAGCACGCCTACGTTCTCCTCCATGCCGTGGCTCTGCTAGAAAGCAGCAGTGGACACAAGCTAGCATCAAACCCTCTTCCCGTCTGCTAAGGCATTGCAGCGAGGCCAGCAAACTACCACCAGGTTACTTGGGCTTATCTGGCTATTGCAATACTAATGGCTAAGAAGCCACATGGGCAACAATGAAAGTCAGGCATAGGACTAGCATGTCTCAAGACATGGCAAACAGCTTCAGTCTTTGAGTGAGCCACAGCCTCCTTTGCTCCCAGGGCTCCTAGAGAAAGCTCAGCCACGTACTGGCAGGCAGCAGTTCTTTGAAGGCGTTCACACCCTCATCCTGCATCTGGTCTGCCTCTCTCTTTAGTTATCCTGTGTCCCCAGCTTCTTGGCTTGTCTGATTTGCTTGCTGATGTTATGGTTTTTTTGTTATTGGGCAACATCTTTCAGTTGAATCTCTTTTCATCAGTGAGCTCTTCTGACTTGCTGACATCAGTGGAACTCCAAGAAGGAATAATGTATAATCACCATACAATCATCACTTCTTACCAGCACTTACAATACAGTTTTAATAAAAAATTCTGCATTCCTTAAAATGTCTTCTCATTTTCCTTAAAATGTTGTAAGAAAAATTCAGGTCTTAATAATTCTTTGAGTCACTTGCTTTGGGTGAGTCCAGATGTATTCAGATTCATCAAAAGAAAAAGCCTGGACTCAGTTACTGTTGTGTAAAAGCAGAATGTAATAATAAATCCCATGATTACATTCTGGGCTATAGATGTTTTGTAAGAAAACCATTGTGCTACCCCTGCTGAAGCAGTTCAGTGGAAAACAATTTCCCAATGTTGTAGGTGAAATGGAATACTTGCCTTTACCATTTACAACCTTACTCCCATTATAGCACATATTCAAGGCAGTAGCAGATCAAATGAATTTAGGTTTCTGGGGCCCCGACAAGCTGCAGTACAAATGGCAGAGAAACACAAGAGATGGCCAGAGCTTCAGCTGCACGCCTTGTCACTCTACAGACAGAGGACAGCTAAGGGTTCAAAGTGAACCTGACTGCACTGCTGTACCCAGAAGGCCTGGCAGATCCTGCTAACAAATACCATAAGTACACAGAATTAGTTAGTGGCCAGTAAAGAGCATAGAGGAAACAGACCGTCACCACTGGTGGGAGGTTTAGGGACAGGGTTGGTCCTGGGGCTGTTCCTGGTGCAGACAGGGAATAGGCTGGAAGAGCTGGCATGGAGTACCAGACACTTGCTGCTCCTTGTGCTGCGAAGGGAACGGAGGGGGAAAGAAGTGGCAATGACTTCTGCTACGAGGGTCCGTCCCACCTCTCCTGGCTGTATCTTGGTGGCAGCTGTCAGCCTCTCTCTCCAAGGCTTTGGCATAAAGTGAAGTTGGCAGCAGAATCACAGCCACATTTCTGCCCATGGCTATCCTAGCAGAGCCCTGGCAACACATTGCTAAAAAGCAGCTTACTTCAGCTATCTTCCTGAAGCCACTTGCCCTCACTGCAGAATACTAATAAAACCTTTACACTCTACTTCTATGCTGCTTTCCATCAGGCTGTTGCAAATTGCTTTGCCAAAACTCATGAGTTAGCCTCACCTTGCTGCTGCAAGATCAGTAGTAATTACTGCAGTATTACTGACAAGGCAGCTGAGGTGCAGAGAGGTTAAGATATTTGATGAAAGTCAGAGGTATCTGTCAGTATAAGGAAAAAGCCCCAGAGGCCACAATTACTTCGCCACTGTGGTTTTTTTAAGCCACATTTCCAGAGCTGTTGAGGAGACATGGATGCTGGTGTTAAGGAATGGATACACTCAAACAATTTTTTTTGCCTGTTTACCCGTCTTCAAATTCTGAAAAATTAGTAGCAGCTGCAGAAAGGGCCTCTCTCTGCAGTCTGCCAGAGAATTATCCAAACACCAGGCTTTTCACCCCTAAGAACAAAGAGCTAAATTTAGATGCTCTATTATACTCATCAGTTACGATCAGATGGGATTTCACTGTCCAGGTGCTGAAGGTCAGCAAGATTAACCTGACCAACAGTAACATTATTTCACGTTAGATGTACAGTTTCCCTGAAAAGCTGCCAATAACTTGCACTAGCTCAGTGCCTTGGAAAGTCAAGCCATCTATTTTGATACTAAATACAAGTGTTGGTAGCTAATTTCCTGGTAGTCACACCTACAGACTCATCAGGGAAGGTGCTGAACTCACAATCTGGAGATGTCAAGGCCCTTCTCTATGGAATGGGTGGGCTGTTGGCTGAGTAAGCCAACATCCCCTATCCTGCCCCAGTAATACACCTTACCAGTGTGCTGATGGGCGAGTTACAAGGGGCCGTACAACTGTTAAGCTGTTTGCTGATCAAAACTACCGAAAGAAGCCGTCCATTAGCATCAGCAGTTACAAGGCCCAGAAATGAAGACCCAACCTCTTTCTCAGACCAAGCCCTACAAACACACTGCTCCTGTCCCTAAAAAGAGTCTTCCCCTTTATTGCCTACTTGTCCTTTTCCTGTTGGCTTGCACTGCCAAGTTCAGTGCAACACAGCAGCCCCTTTTTCACCCTACATCTTCAAACGCAACTTGCTTCTTAGGAGCCCTGGATTTTATACTCATGAGTGTATTTGCACAATACACTAAGGAAGAAGGGAATTACCACTCACATTTTAAATAATAAGACAGTGAAACTGAGTGGGCTATACAGGGAGACTGAGTCCAAGCCAGGAAACTTGTTTAGATTCCTCGCCTTTCAGATGACTGTTTTAAACAAACTCCAACACGTTATCCACACCCTGTAGAACAATATTATTACTCAAAGATCATAGTCCCATGGATTTTCACTCAATAACAGACTCAAATCCCCCCGTTCATGTGGGATTTTCACACCCATTTAACAGCATATAACCAGGTCCATGGCAAAAATGTGCAATGCAAGAGACTGGTGGCAGTCAAAAGGTGTTTCCTAACAGATTTACCTGTTCTTGAAAAGCATTGGCTTGTTCTTCAAATCCAGCTGTTCTGAAGTAATTCACAACATCGATAACAGCCCAGTCAGCAGGATCTGGAGGTCTGCCGTTCTCTACTGAACTGCAAAGTGCAAATCCAGACAAGTAATCACTAAACGTGTGCAGAGCATCTGCTGCTTTTTTGTGCACACCCTGTGTACATCCCCTCCTTCCTTGTTCCTCCAGGAAAAGTGTCCTGCAACACACCTCCCCCTGCCCCAGTACAAAACAGTCACTCCTGTTCTCTTCCATTTCAAAGACCCGATGCTGGGGACAACTGAGGTACCTCTCCCTTCAGAAAAGAAGAAAGTAAGAAGAAGAAATCTTCTTACTTTCAGCCAAAGGTAATCAGTCAGGATCTTCTCCTGCAAGTGTGCTGCCTTCACAGTTGGAGAACAAAGACTACCATGACTGAGGTACCAAATCCTCGTCTTTCAAGACTGCAGCTTATTTTCAGCTACTAAGTACTGACAAAGAATTGCAGTATGTGGATTATTCTTTTCCCAGACGAGAATGTGCTTCCTTGTAACACGGGACGAAACTACTGGAAACCATCTTTACCTTGCAAAACAAAACAGAAAAAAAAACCCAAAAATAAAAAGAAGAGAGGCACTCTCTAATATATAGGAAATTTCCCCAAATTTGTTTTTGGACTCATTTTTGGGCAAATCTATGGACTGTTTAAATAGCTGTGAATCTGAGAAAACATCTGTTAAACAAAGAATTAATTCCTTCTCTGATTGACCTCAGGCAATTGCTTTCCACAGTAGCAAAACCGACCAGTCATTCATATTACGATCCCTCTCCTGCCATTCTTATCCTCAACTTGCCATCAACCTATCTCAGATCACCTTTGCATATCTGCAAATTCCTGGTAAAAAAGACACACAGTCAGCTTGATTGCCTTTCCTACAGCAGTTTAGGAGGATGAAGAGCAAGACATCAAAAGAACAAACTTCTTTAACATTTTTCTTCAACTACAAGTCCTAAAGTTCATGCCAGACATTTTCCACTGTTCTGCATGCTTAACCATAATGCTAATGAAGAAATATCGAAAATGTACAGGTCAGGGCAGATGTCAAAATCCTGGCCATTCCATGTCCTGAAGCTTAGAGGCAGGACTTTGATTCTCAACAGCACCAGCTGGAGAAGAAACACAGATTATACTCTCCTGACAGCATTTTTGTTTTGTCCTTCAAATTTTTCTTTTCCAACTGTCACCACCTCTGTCTCACCTAGACTTGTATGTCTTTCAGCAAAACAACCGAGTGAATCAACAGCCAACTGTTTTTCCAACCAGCCATAAAGAGAAGCAAACAGAAACACATATAGTACCTCCCATCACTGTTTCTACAACATCCCAGTTTCTACAACTAGCTGAGCCCTGGGAAGGAGGAATCATGAACACAATGATTTTTGCTTCTCCCCTAACTCTTCGAACATACCTGTCGATATGACAACAACATTCTGGCCCTTGAGATTCACACTGCAACCTCGAAGCCATGCTGCATTTGGCCTTCTAAAAGCAGTTTCTTTCACTTACCACACGGAATATACACATATTTTGGAGCAATGAGCAAAGGGCCAGAGTTTCTCACTTTTGCTCATCAAGTAACTACTTGCTTCATGAATCACTTCACTGATTGTGATTACATAGAAAGGCAAAACTCAGCAAAATTGAAAATGAGACTATTTGGCCTTATCAGAGCTCCTTTTTTTTTTTTTTTTTTTTTTAAATCAAAGAATGCCTTTCAATTAAGATTTTTGGTGTTGTGCACATTCTGGGGCTTAAGAAGTAAAATGTGAAAAGCATCACACAAAACCTACACTTATTTGTAAAAGCAACATTTGAAGAATTATATTTAAATCTTTGCATTTTCCCTAAGAGACTATCACTTGCAATGACTCATCTTCTACTTGAAATTAAACAAACAGCTCAGTATTTAAAAAAAAAAACCATGATAAACCCTAAAAGATATTGAATTTATTTCTTCCTAAACAGCAAAGAAAAGATTCAATCTGTAAAAATACCTCCTAACTGTATTTTGCTTAATTCCCCAAACACTTTAATTTCAAACTAAATATGGTCCTAAACCCTTCTTCCCACAATTTTGTATTTCAGCCCAGGTGCATTAGTTGTTCATCTAGCTCTGCTTTTCTCACTAGGGAACTACAGCTCGGTCCAGCCACACCCCAGGCCCAACTGCAATGACTTCAGGGGCTCTACCTTAGTTATTAACTAATCACAGGAAATTATGGCAAGCCCCTGCCTCAAGGAATAGCATCATGCCGGACCTCAATTTCCACAGCTACAGCTGCAGGAGACTCAAAGGCATGTGGCAGACTGCTGGAGGCTGGCTGGATTTTAACCCATCTACCCACACAGATGCTCACTTGGCTTCTAGACTTTAACAGTATCCTCCTTGCCCTGCTGTTGCACATGGCTCTATTCTTTAGCCAAGAAAAGGGAATATATAACAGCCACGGCTTAGCCATACACTGGTTTATGCCAGACATCCTGGATGCTGTAAAATCTTAAGAGGACTAGCATTTTAGGCTTTGTAACAAGATACTAGATGCACTGATAATGAATAAAGATTAGGCTTGTCTGCTTTTTCACCGCTGTCCCTGTGCCTTTATTGCCATCATGTGGCAGAAGCAGCAAGGCCCAAACGGATATAGCTGTGAACAAACAGATTTTATCCAAGCTATTTATAACTGCTTCAAGAAAGTGCCAAATACTTCCTTTGTAGATATGTGCACATACATACTGTACACATTCCTTTAGAAACCACAGCTCCTGATCACTTTAATTACAATCTCCATCAGTTTTAAAAAGCCACCTTCACAATTAGTAGTTGAGCCTTTATCACCTAAGCCTCAAGGTGAAAATGATTAAATGCAAACTGTCCTTGCTTTGAATGCCTCCCTTCTCCCCCCACCACCATGGAGTCCTCATTGTAGAAGCAAGACTGCCAGCTGAAGGTGGCTTCTGAGGGACATACAAGGTATCATCTACTCCCAGTTGCTGAATAGGGATGATGTGTTTTATGCTGGTGTGGTGTAACCAACGTCTCAAGTGAAGGGGGAGCACGCCAATTTTAATGGCTGCCATCAGGTCTTTTGATGCTGTGTGGTAATCAGGTGTTTTATCAGCATCCTGAAGTGACCATTATTATTATTACTTATGTTACTCTAATGCCTGGGAGCCTAAACATTGTCAAGTTTTCTTGGAAGGCTTATAGAAAAAGAGATCTGAAGGAGAAGAATGTGGTGCAGCTTTGCAGAAGTGTTGCAGTTTGAGAGGACTAAGAACTCTCTCTAGCACCTTTCTTTGTGTGCTTTTTTTTTTAATATATCTATATCTAGATACGTATATATCTATCACAGCACAGCTTCTATAACCCTAAAGCAGCAAAGCCAGATTTTTCCACACAGAACTCCACTTCTCAGATCATAACTTCATTCAGAATTGCTAGTCCTAATCTAACAATTGCTGACCATTAAGGATACAGAAATGCCTCCAAAACAGTTCCTATCCCTTAGCCTGCAGTCTACCGCACTAATGAAAATTCTAGAGCAGTGCACATCACGTTTCTGTCTTATTCCCACCCTAGGTCTTAAGTAAAAAATGCAGCAGTTTAGGGCTTCTCAATAAATATCTGTTCCAGTAGAGGACTGACACCAATACACTGCCGCTACTACTTCCCAGTTCTAGAGGGCTGGGCAGTCAGCACAGAAGGGCCCATGTTTCGCTGAAAGAGACAGACTTCCACATAGGACACTCCTCACCATCAGGCACCAGTTCTGCAAAGGCCACTAGCAGAGAGGTGAGCAGAGGTAGAGTACTGGTTACAGTGCTACCACTTGCTTTAGTCTCTGATTGAGAGGAGAAATCAATGGAGAAAGGTATAACCCTAACTTAAGTTACTAGCTTCTGCATCTCTCCATTGCTATACAGTCCTCCCACATATCACTTTTAATCAGTTCAGTGCCCGAGACTCTTTCATTTCGATGTTGAAACATAATAAAAGTAACTGAGAACGGGGAAGGTTTGAAATGAGCAAAGATGGAGGTGCCCACCCCTGCCAACCACATTAAGTCAAAGGAAAACTACAATCAAAATCTGTGTGCTGTTTACATAAACTGAACACTATGGATTCACTTACTTTTTGACATCCAGAGAGCCATTTTCCTTGTTTTCCATGTCAACAGTTAGCATGGGGAGGACAGAGGTTTCTTTTACTTCAGCAACTGATTAATAGGGGGGAAAAAAAGCTGTGTTTAATTATTGGTAGTATGAAAAGAACAACATAATGTAACAGAAACAAGCATTCTACAGGGACACAACCATGTTTCCACCTGAGAGCAAAGGTGCTGTCAAAGACTGCTTCCCTCAGAAGCCTGGCAAAGCTGTTAATAGCTAATGAACGAAGAAAAGTTGACCTGTGCTTCAAACACAAGAAATATTTCATGCCTGAAAATCAAGGAAGGTAACGTTACATTTGATCCTTTCTGAAACTAATAAAATTTTGATCAAACTCTATACTCACACACATAGAGACTGACCTGCAATATATAGCTAGATAGCAAGAGGGCTTATTATGCCATCGGTCACCCTGCTATTCAGAGGATCCAAACAGATGTATGATCTTATCCCTAGTGAGGTTTTGAAATCCATAGCCTTGTTTTACAAATGGGGAATCTGGGATACAGATGAGCACAGGCTGACTTATACCCAGCTCGCACATAAAGCTAGCAAGCAGAGTTAACTAATTGAGCCCCAAACTCCTCAGGCCTAAATCGGTATCTTATCCGTAAGACCATCCTTCCTGCACTAGCACAGCTTCTTCTGTAGGTATGGTATGCTAAACTCTGAAAAGGAAAGGAGCATACGAAGGACACAGGAGAAAATCCAGTTTGCTTCCCTCCTCGCAGCATGCTGGAGTACTTTCACCACGCAGCTTTTTCCACCGCTCCGCGGAACATGCAGAAACGACCTGAGCCTTTTCTTTCTGTTCCCGAGTAAGCCATTTCTATTTCAGAGAGCACCAAAGAACTGACCAAGGACTCAGGATGTTCTTGCTGTAGCATTAATGGATGCCAGTGAAATGTCACAGCGCTCTGGGAAGTACAGAATAGGGAAATCATGCCCTTCAGCTAAAACTTTGCAAAAATAGAGGATAGCAATTAACGCTGCTGTTATAAAAAGAAAAAAAAAAAGACCCTTTATTATACAGCTAGCAGGACGTAAAACACCAAGAAAACAGTCACAAACTGATCGCAAAGATGCTTCTCCCCGTACCGCTGACCAAACAACTCCACGCATTCCCTCAAATCACTTCTTGGTTCACCTGAGGTGACAGCCAAACGGCGACCGAACCAGCCCGCCTGCGGAAGGTGCCCTCGCCCCGGCCGCACAGGAC